CATCAGCAAAGGTTTTAGCACCCAAAATTATTCTAGGAGCACAAGTTTTCGTGTTTGGTATCAGTAGCGTTACTAATTGTTATTTTTTAATTTCAGCTAGAAAAAAACGCTAGCGAAGTAAGGCGCCCATAATTACAAATTTTATAACGGAACTAATGGTCAAAAAACAACAATTCATTTTCATCAAGTAAAAACCAATTCATTTTCATATATTTTTACCTCCCTGCCAAAACGTATACAACCGCTCTTAGAATAAAAAAACGAACACGCCCTCAAACCTTTCGCTGTCAAGCAAACGCCGCGCAGCACCTAGTAAGTCCTTTAGATACTCTATCCGCCAAATAAACCCTAAGCGTCCATAGCACGGAGGGAGAGAGTCCCTTTCTCCTGGTCGTTCAAGGATAAGGGGTCCAACCCGCCCCTTTGCTTCGCAAAGTAAAACTCAAAGTAGCCCGCTAAGAGGCCACCTTTCGTGATAATTCAAAATTCCAATTAGTAAAAAACATTATTAATATATATATAATTTCAATAGTGCCCAAATTATAATATCAAATAAAAATTAATTAATACTTAATTTATATATATATATTAATATTTACCAATAGATATGGAATTATTTTATTTTCCAGAAATTATCGAATATTGTTTTTAAAATCTCTCAGATGAAGAGATTTTGCTACGGTTGAATGTTTAGCATTCAATTCTGTGGAGGTGTCCAGGCAAAACAGAATAAAATTTCTTATGTTGGATTATTATCCACCAAATTAGGAATTATTTTGAATGCAAGACCAAGATCATCTAATGGACATATTCCTTCAGTTCAAAGAACTATCAAAACGCCGACTCCAGATTGCAAAGGCATCAGGTCAGAAATGCATCAGTTCTTGGCAACTGAAAGGAGGCTTTCAACTGATTTATGAGCATCTCCTCTTTCTTCATGGTCTTACGGAATAGAGTCTGCTTGCTTGATGCCTTCGCAACTAATGGTGTGGAAGGTAAAGTTCGTCACCGGCCAAGCATCGGCGATTGCGCATCTGCGCAGCTTCTCTGCCAGCCGACCAGTTGAGACCCACTCAGAATGCAAGTTGTTCCCAGGTGGAAAATCTCTCTAAATATCCACCAAAAATGTATCCAGATGATATCCAGATGATATGATCAGAAATTATTTTTGCTGTGAAAATTGCCAGGTTTCTGAGAGGTCTCAGTGGGTGCGCACGATCGCCTCAAGCATCTGTCCTGGGAACTGTTCACCGCAAACCACGTGGCAAGACCAGCTGTTTCAGAAGGATTCAGAACATCTAACATCCTAAAACAGTTGCAATAACATGATAATCATATTACAAAAAATACCTCTAGATTTTATCTATAATACATAATATATACTATAGACTATACACTTTGTACTATATACTATACACTATATACTATATTATACTATATATTATATACTATACACTGTATACTATACACTTTACACTATATACTAAGTATACATGATACACCATACACTATATACTATATACTATATACCGTATACCATATACCCTATACCATATACCATATCATATTATGTATAGAGTTGTATTGTAAATGGATGTTCATGTCCATTGCAGCAAGGCAGGCCACAAAAATCTGTAAGGTTCTGTAAGAGTTTGGCGATTTTATCCTGAATTGTTGAAGTTTCTAAGGACTGTACTGTTCTGGAAAGAACTGATTCCTTCCATTTCAATCTATTTCATGTGTTTGTTTGTCTGTCTTCTTGGAGTCACGCACAGTAAAGAAACAGGTTCTGACACAGACTTTTCAGGGATCTCTTCCTCATCGCAGCTGGTTGTCATCTAGAAATGGATACTATGTCGAGCTAAGTCCATGATTTGGCAGAAAAACCCTAGCACCTCTATGTGGACCCTACGTGCATTTTCACTCGTGAGCTCGTGGCTTTAGCGTTCGTGCTGACGGTGGCAAATTTGAACGCCCAAAACTTTCTACCAAGGCCCCGTCATCTACCTGTCATCTACCCTAACTTACTCTACTCTAAAGTTCATTTACACTTTCCATCGTCATTTTGTCATTTGCCTACCCTTCCACACCACCTCCCAAGGCCACACGGCATGCCGAGGCTCAACCTCTCAGGGACCTGGCCCGTTGAAAGAAACCAGAGGAGCTGTATAGTCACTGTAGTCTATGACCATCATAGGATGCATTCGGTGAATATGTCAAAAAAATACAAACTCATTCAAAAAGGCCCAATGTATCCCAAGCAAGCATGTAAAACAGCTAGCACAGGTTGCATTCATCTTGACATTGCACTGTGGTCTCTATTTTTTCTTCTCTCTCTCTCTCTCTCTCTCTCTCTGTCCCTCTCCCCTTGAGCTTTGAAAATGAAATGGCCCGACTTGCTACAAATTTTTCTCATCCTCTGCATCACGATCAGACAATCAGCCCTCTGTCAAAGGTCGGGCTCAGCATCTTGATGGTGCCCTTCCGGCAATATGCACAACCTCAAGTCGGACTTAAGGTAGTGGAGAGTGAGCTCTGCATGCACATGAGTGCAAGCACAGTGCACCTCCCTCAAGCCTTCTTGGGAGCTGGCTTTGGCTCTTCCTGGCCTCCCCCAAGAAATGCCCCGAAGCTCTCACTCACCGCAGTGTCAAAAGCATCCATGGCATCAGCAAGATGTCCAGCCGCACTCTCAACCAGGTTGCTCGGTGACGCATCATCTTCGCGGATCACCAAACTTTGCTCACCATGGGCCTTCTTCAACTCCTGCTGCAAGCCAACTGCCGAAAAAATGGTGAGGAAATCCAGCATGGCTTCGACGAGCACAGGCAAAAGTCGCTGACACCACCGGGAGCTTTGGGATTTGAGGCTAGAATCTAGAATGCACAAGAAAAAAAATGAGTTGCAGAAAACTGCAGATTCAAGCAGACCCACACATTCAAGCAAACCTGTGCCTAATTCCCAAACATCTTAAGGTTTTATCAACTGAAATATCACCCCGGCCGTTCAGAAATCTTGTACCTAAAACCGTTGTGAACCAGCTACGCAACCTATGAATGACGAGGCCAGAAAAATGCTGCGGCTACTTTTTCTCATCCTCTGCATCACGATCAGACAATCAGCCCTCTGTCAAAGGTCGGGCTCAGCATCTTGATGGTGCCCTTCCGGCAATATGCACAACCTCAAGTCGGACTTAAGGTAGTGGAGAGTGAGCTCTGCATGCACATGAGTGCAAGCACAGTGCACCTCCCTCAAGCCTTCTTGGGAGCTGGCTTTGGCTCTTCCTGGCCTCCCCCAAGAAATGCCCCGAAGCTCTCACTCACCGCAGTGTCAAAAGCATCCATGGCATCAGCAAGATGTCCAGCCGCACTCTCAACCAGGTTGCTCGGTGACGCATCATCTTCGCGGATCACCAAACTTTGCTCACCATGGGCCTTCTTCAACTCCTGCTGCAAGCCAACTGCCGAAAAAATGGTGAGGAAATCCAGCATGGCTTCGACGAGCACAGGCAAAAGTCGCTGACACCACCGGGAGCTTTGGAATTTGAGGCTTCTGGCTGAGAGATGTCAAAGGTGAGATTCGAGATGCATTTGCGACCGCATTCAAGTTTTGAAGCCAGTATGAGAAAAACAGTTGGTCTCTTTCCATATTGATTTCAACTGGGAAGAACCAAAAGGAAGAAACCGGGCCATGCATTTCAGTTCCAGTTGAGTGCAGAGCCCGCCTGGCCGGGCATGAGGCCAAACAGTTCAGGCTTGGTTTGACTCAAAGACCTGGCAATTTTCTGCAGCAACGGGTGCCCAAACTCAACAAATCAGAGGCCAAATGGACCAAAGGATACCAAAGGCTTACCAGAATACTCAACCGGTCATAACAGGTCAACAAAACCATCGGGAGATCATGGACACAGCGTGCCTGTTGCCCGATCGCGATGTCTGCCTTAGGAAACTTGGGCATCAGTTTTTGCAGGAAGAAAAAGGCCAAAACATTTCACAAGACTGGCTGATGCAGTATATATATATATTTACATACATATACATTTATAATATATATATATAACAACTAACAATATATAACTTGTCATCCATCCCAAATTGTTCGAACCTGGCAGTGTGAGACACAATCCGGACCAAACCATTCCCTGCATTCACAAGATAATATGCATAGAGGGAGTCAGTCTTGTCAATGCCGAAAGTCAACCGAGCAAGTCTGCTTCGCATGGCTCATCCTTTGTCACTCCCATCACTCCCAGTGTGACCACCCTGTTTCTGGGCAAAGATACAGAGGGTCTTGCGGCCTGACGTAGGCAGTTTTCCAATTTTTCATCTCACAAAATGAAGGCAACCCACAAGGAAAGCTGTTTGGATACGACCCTTTAAAACTTGAATAAACTTGACATCTTTTTCACTGCACAACCACTCCAAATCGATGCTACGGAGTTGATGGTTCAAAGGTTTACATTGCATAGGATGAAAATGCTACTTGATTCAAAAGAGTCACAGCTCCGACTCCATGCCGTCCATGCCTGACTTCTTTCAATTCTCGGCCTCGGAAGCCAAAGTTACAATGGAATCTACATCAGTTGGCTGTGCCGGTGGCCTGGAGGCGTGAAGAAATAAAAGTGTCAACTAAAAATTACAAATCAAACTGCTACCTTTAGAATTGATTGATTCATAAAATTCATCACCCAAACAATTAGTGATCACATGACCTTGCCATGTTCCCACAGCTTGTGGCTAACCCATGCTGGATGCAGGCACATCACCCATCGCTTCCAAGCAGCTCATCCACTTCCGCAAATCCACCAAATCCTGGCAGGGCCCCCGAAGGGCCCAAACGACTCCTAGTTGAATGCACTCTGAACAACATGTCCAGGACGAAGATTCGGATTCTCTCCTCTCTCTCTCCTCTCTCTCTCTCTCTGGCTTCCCTGGCCTTTACTGTCGCTGTGTTGCTGCCCCGGAGTTTCAGGAGACGCGTCATGAACTCAGGAAAGGGTAACCTGAGAGCCGTGGCTGATTTGTCAGATCATGTCATATAAGAACGATCCACAGGACATGGATGGTTATGTCAAAATTCACATATGTATACAGTATACATGCGTCACGTGGATCAAAAATGCGAACCAGAAAAAGGTCGGTTGACATCCAAACAGCTAGCACTCAGCTAGCAGTGAGCTAGCAGCAACTACTTCTTTCGTCTCTCGATGCAAAAAACGTGTCGTTCCCAACCAAGGCTGAGCATTTTCCAAACCAACAGCGCATTCCTTGCGGCTGCGTCACTTGCTCAGGGGAACACCACCAAGTTCATCCTGGAAAACAGGCATTGCAGCATTGCACTAGCCATTACTATTCGTCAGGAGCCGTCACGAACCGTCACTGGCCGCTGTCCAGCGCTTTAACGTTTTACCAGTATCCAAAAGAAATCCAAAGAACAAGTCATACCTCTTGATCCTCTTTTATCTGCCACATCACAAGCATTCGAGGCAAAAAAACAGCCCAGAAGAAGGACCAGGGAAGAGCGTTTCGGAGACTTCTCAGACTGATGAAATCCATGTCCGTGTGCATCTATCTATATACTTCCCAAATGCAACACCCCAGCGCGCTTCCACGAAACTCCGACAATTCGTCTACAATTTTAACAACACCTTTCTGTTATATCTTATCCTAGGATGCCACAATCATCATAACAAACTCATGTGGTTTCTAGTTCAGCTTTGTTGAGACCACAAGTCAGGTAAATCTAAAACATGAACATTCCGTTGGAGCTTGCATTGAGCAAAAAGCAGCAACAGCTGCCTTAAAAAAAAAACATGTTGAGCAAGCACGCTGCAAGACTGCACCAGCAAAACATTTGCCCTAGTAGTTGAAGAGAGTAAATCACGTTTGACATCATTTGAATGTGTTTTCTTCATGATTCTTCCTGCTGCAGTCGTTTCTTGAAATCTATTCAAAGACCTTAAAACACTTTCAAACAAACCCTAAAAAGGCAGCAAGAAAACATCAAGGATGGGCGCAAAAAAAAAAAACTGGCATCAGTCCCAGTGAAAGAAGTTGACAATTTGCACTTGTTTTTTCGGTTTTGTAAATTTCCCGCCACTAGTTTGGGGGACAGACAAGCCAACAAACAAGTTCAGAGACACTGGCGTCGATCTTTGGGCCATCAGTTGGACAACATGTTAAACAGTAGATTCAATAGATCCAACAACATTGGAGACATGGTACACAGCACCCACATGCTAGTAGAAAGCCCCGATGGTTTTTGTGCCATGCTGGGAGGCCATCGGCAATACTTGGAAATTTCTTTGGAAGGAAAGTTCGAGCACCCCCGCAAAGTTGGGGCCACCACCTTGACTCTCCGAGAAATAAGTCTTAGTCTTAATCTCTATGTATATATATATATTTTTTTTTATTTATTTATTTATATAGATAGAGATAAATATATATATATATAGACAAAGATAAATATATAAATATATACCAGTAAAACCGCACAAGGCCTTGGCGGAAGTTTCAAAAATAGGAAACATCACGGATGGCAGAGCGAATCCACTGATGGACCGAAAGGTGGTTGGAGTTGTGTTTTTTCCCGAGAGCATCTGAGCGCAGGGTTCTTCCAATAGTGGGGGTCTGTCAAACATCTTCTCATCTTCACACCTTCTCATCTTCACACCTTCTCATCTTCACATCCTCTCATCTTCACATCCTCTCATCTTCACATCCTCTCATTTTCACATCTTCTCATCTTCACATCTTCTCATCTTCACATCTTCTTATCATCACATCCTCTCATCTTCACATCCTCTCATCTTCACATCCTCTCATCTTCACATCCTCTCATCTTCACATCTTCTCATCTTCACATCCTCTCATCTTCACATCCTCTCATCTTCACATCTTCTCATCTTCGCATCTTCACATCTTCTCATCTTCACATCTTCTCATCTTCACATCTTCTCATCCTCCCATCTTCTCATCCTCCCATCTTCTCCTCATCTTCACATCTTCTCACATCTTCTCACATCTTCTCACATCTTCTCACATCTTCTCATCTTCTCACATCTTCTCACATCTTCTCATCTTTACATCTTCTCATCTCACACCTTCTCCTCTTGCCCTCTTGCCCTCTTGCCCTCTTGCCCTCTTGCGTCCAAACGGACCTCCCCGGCTCAAGCCGCCAATCGGCCCGACGCCTCCGGCAATCGGCACCACCCAACTTTTTCCCCTACCACGCCTGCGTTCGCCGCCCGCCCTATCAGTCAGTTGCTGCTGCCCATGAGAAAGAGAGCAAGCCTCCCGCCGGTCCACGCCTGGTTGCCCCCCCATGGCGCCCGAACACGTCTGAGCGCCACGGGAACGAGAAGAGTGAAAGGTCCCAATTTGGGACCTATCCTATTTCCCGTTCTTCCGTGACCCACAACGTGCTCTAGCACCAAGGAGAAGCAGTCCAGGCATGAGCCGGCGGGAGGCCTGCTCTCTTCCTCAAGGTCAGCAGCTTCCGAAAGACGGGCAGACCGCGAAGTCCCAGCCGGGGTAAGGGAGTCGGGCAATGCTGATTGTTTTTTTTTTTCGGTCAGGTGAATTTGGCTAGCCTCTGGCTCCGTCTCGTTGAAGCAGCATTGCATAGCTGACCATTTTTTATCTTTTTATTTTCATGTCCCTACCAATCTATTTTGATGCAATCTCTTCCTTCCTTGTCTATGTCGGGCGGAAGCGCAAGGCTCAGGTCTGAGAGTCCTGGTCACGAAATGAGGTTCGATCGGCAAAAACTGAGGTAAAATTGCGATTTCAACTTGTCCCGCGCGACCCTTTCGCACGTCCCTTTCGCACGAAATGAGGTTGGATCGCCAAAAACTGAAGTAAAATTGCGATGTGTGTAAAAGCATCTGTGTGTAAAAGCGTCTGTGTGTAAAAGCGTCTGTGTGTAATAGCGTCTGTGTGTAAAAGCTTCTGTGTGTAAAAGCGTCTCTGTGTAAAAGTGTTTGTGTGTAAAACTGTTTGTGTGCAAACTTTTGTGTGTAAAAGCGTCTGTGTGGAATAGCGTCTGTGTGTAAAAGCTTCTGTGTGTAAAAGTGTTTGTGTGTAAAAATGTTTGTGTGTAAAAGTCTCTGTGTGTAAAACCCTCTGTGTGTAAAAGCGTCTGTGTGTAAAAGCGTCTGTGTATGTCTGTGTGTAAAAGCGTCTGTGTGTAAAAGCTTCTGGGTGTAAACGTCTCTGTGTGTAAAAGTGTTTGCGTGTAAAAGTGTTTGTGTGTAAAAGCGTCTGTGTGTAAAAGCGTCTGTGTGTAAAAGCGTCTGTGTGTAAAAGCGTCTGTGTGTAAAAGCGTCTGTGTGTAAAAGCTTCTGTGTGTAAAAGTCTGTGTGTAAAAGGTTTGTGTGTAAAAGCGTCTGTGGTGTAAAACCTCCTGTGTGTAAAAGCCGTCTGTGTTTAAACCCTCTTGTGTGTAAAAGCGTCTGTGTGGAAAAGTCTCTTCTTGTGGAAACGCGTCTGTGTGTCAAAGCCTCTGTGTGTAAAAGCGTCTGTGTGACAAAAACGTCCTGTGTGTAAAAGCGTCTTTAGCTTCTTTTTGTAAAGCGTTGTGTGTAAAAGCTCTGTGTGTCAAAGCTTCTGTGTTTGTAAGCTTCTGTGTTTAAACTAATCTCTTCTGTGTGTTAAAAGTGGTTTGTGTGTAAACGGGGCTTCTTGTGTAAAAGCGTCTGTGTGTAAACCCCTGTTTGTAAAGCGTCTGTGTGTAAAAGTTTCTGTGTGTAAAAGCTTCTGTGTGTAAAAGCGCCCGTGTGTAAAAGCGTCTGTGTGTAAAAGCTTCTGTGTGTAAAAGCGTCTGTGTGTAAAAGTCTCTGTGTAGAAAAGCGTCTGTGTGTAAAAGCCTCTGTGTGTAAAAGCGTCTGTGTGTAAAAGCGTCTGTGTGCAAAAGCGTCTGTCTGTAAAAAGTTCTGTGCGTGAAAAACTTTTTGAAAGATACGATGCAAAAGATACGTTGCCATAATATAATATTGCCTTGATACTACTCTTCTCGTCTGCCTGTAATACATCTTTAATATATTGTCTTGTAATATAGTGTCGCCACACTAACAGCAGAAGAAGACTCTGCTCCTCTACGCTCTCGGGCCATCCGTCGTCTAGTTGGAGTGGTTGCAGTGGTTGCAGTGGTTGCAGTGGTCACCTCAGCACAACTGCTGGATGTAGCGTGGTGTAGTGCAGTTGTAGTTGTAGTTGTAGCGTAATGGAGTTGTAGTTGTAGTGTAGTGTAATTAGTGTGGTGTAGGTGTAGTTGCAGTCGCAGTTATAGTTGTAGTTGTGGTGTGGTGCAATTAGTGTAGTCTAGTGTAGTGTACCGTAGTGATGTGTACTGTATTGTGGTATGGTATAGTGTAGTGTAGTGTAGTCTAGTGTAGTGTTAAGTAATGCAGCTGTAGTTGTAATGTAGTGTAATTAGGGAACTGTAGTGTAGTGTAGTCTAGTGTAATGTAGTGTAATGTAGTGGTAGTTGTAGTTGTAGCTGCAGTGTGCTGCAGTGTAATTACTGTAGTTGTAGCTGTGGTGGTGGTAGTTGTGCAATTGTAGTTGTAGCTGTGGTGGTAGTAGAAGTAGAAGTAGAAGTAGAAGTGAAAGTAGAAGTAAAAGTAGTAGTAGTAGTAGTAGAAGTAGTAGTAGTCGTCGTCGTCGTCGTAGTCGTCGTCGTCGTAGTCGTAGTCGTAGTCGTAGTCGTAGTCGTAGTCGTAGTCGTAGTAGTAGTAGTAAGTAGTAGTAGTAGTAGTAGTAGTAGTCGTCGTCGTCGTCGTCGTCGTAGTAGTAGTAGTAGTAGTCGTAGTAGTAGTAGTAGTAGTAGTCGTCGTCGTAGTAGTAGTAGCAGTAGTAGTTGTTGTTGTTGTTGTGGTGTAATTAGTGCAAGTAGCGTAATTAGTGTAATCGGCGTAGCTCAGTGTGGTGTAATTAGATATTATTAGCGTAGTGTCGACATCGCAACTTCTAAAAGTGCTCCGAAGCTGAGGTGGCTTGTACATTTTGACTTCGAAGTGTGCTTCGCGCCACAATGCCGTGCACTTTTTCGACATGGCAACTCCCAAAATTGGTCCGGACCTGGTGTGTTTTGAACATTTTGACTTCGAAACGTGCTTCGTGCCAAAACGGCGTGCACTTTTTGGACATCTCAACTTCCAAAAGTGGTCCGACACTGAGGTGCTTTGTACATTTTGACTTCGAAATTTGCTTCGCGCCACAGCGGCGTGCAATTTTTCATCTCTCATCTGGCCAGCTGGCTCCGCACCCACCGCTTTAGCGAGCCTACTTTTCGACCCTGCGGGGTCACAAATCATTAGAAAAACTTAGTGTTTCGCAACTTTCTTACCTTTTCGCGCACCTGGGATCTTCTTTCTTCTGAAACTTTCTCTTTTTTGTTTGATCTTCTTTCTTCTCTTCTCTTCTCTGACTCTTCCCATCTCTGCTTTTCATCGGTCCATATTGTCGGAAGTTTGACTTCTAAACTTCCTTTGGTAAGATTGTATAAGTATCACTGGGAAGAAACAAAATAAAATGATTGGCCAACGGCATCTAGTACAGTAGGTCCTCGAAAAGAACATCGATGAAATTGGCCAATGTCTGCACCTTGGGAATGCATGGTGCATCGGGATATGACACATATGAACATGGGCAGGAAACTGATCCATGCTGTTGAAGTGTTCGTTCCACACAGAGGATTGTAAGTTGCGGGCATCCACATCCTTGGCAAACAGGAAGGCAAACTGTTGGAGGTTCACACACAATCAATGTTGCGCAGTACATGCCAGAATTGCCTTCTTATGATCCACTACAAGCGCGAGGGCATCAAACGAAACTACACTACTGGCAAAACTGGCGATCCTTCCCGTAATTCCAATACAGTGTACCAACCCTTTGGTCCAGACACGACCTCGTTGAGCACTTTCCGCACTTGCGGATTCTCGATCATGCCTGGAGAAATGAGCTGGAACAAGTCGATCAAGCCCCTGAAACCTACTCTTCACCAGTGGCCTGTTTGTAAATGCAGCAGTGAAATCTTGTGAATGTATTGCAGAATGCATCCTGAATTTTCAAAATGTGTCACAGAACATCGCAGCATCACAGCATCAGCATATCGCAGCATCCCGTAGCATCTCTCCTCGGAACTCGTCGCGGTCGATCTGGCCATCCTTGTCGGTGTCAACACCCTCCTCCAGACATCTCTGCATCACTTCCTCAGCGGGCTCACCCTGGAGAAACGCCTTGAAACACCTGCGAAAAGTGAGGAAATGCTGAAAGAATCTAAGAGCAAACAGGTGGGCACAAAAGGTATGTACTTGTGATATCTTGTGATCTTATGATGGGAGATGAAATGGTGAAAGGGAGAGTGCTGCGCACAGTTTTCTTGTTGCTTCTTGCCACGATCCACCTATCATTTTTTCCCAACAGCAAAACTTTGCTATGGGGTCCTTAGCCACCCGGCGCAGCTTCAATACCAGGTTCCAGACAAGGTTCCAGAGGGTTCTGGTGCAGATACCTCGTGAGGTTCCGGAGGTTTCCGGTGCAGATACCTCGTGAGGTTCCGGAGGGTTCCGGTGAAGATACCTGCTGAGGCTCCGAAAGTTCTGTGCGGTTCCGGAGGGTTCCGGTGCAGATACCTTGTTGAGCTTCCGGAGGGTTCCGGCGCAGATACTTTATGAGGTTCCGGAAGTTTCCGGTGCAGGTGCTCGGTGTGGTTCCGGAGGGTTACGGTGCAGATACTTGCTTAGGTTCTAGAGGGTTTTGGTGCAGGTGCCTGGTGAGGTTCTGGAAGTTTCCGGTGCAGCTACCTAATGAGGTTCCGGAGGGTCTAGGTGAAGATGCGTCGTGAGGTTCCGGAGGGTTCCGGGGCAGATACCTTGTGAGGTTCCGGAAGGTTCCAGTGCAGAGACCTTGGTTCCGGAGGGTTTTGGCGGAGAAGATGCTTGGTGAGGTTCCAGAGGGTTCTGGTGCAGATACATTGTGAGGTTCTGGAGGGTTCTGGTGCAGATGCTTTGTGAAATTCCAAAGGGTTCCGATGTTTTTTTATGGCATAAGCACTTAATTTTCATTGCATAAGCGCTTGATTTTTATGCATAAGCACTTTTCATGGCAAAAATCGCAGAAGCTTTTAAGCTGTTGGGGATAGCACCTGAGTTTATTTTTGAACGCAAGTGCAACATTCATGGCATGTAATTGATGTGGGTGAGACTCAGGCGAAATGGAAGGCGAAATGGAAGCAAAAGGGATTATAGTGACGAGGAAAAGGATTGATGATTGTTCTTATGATGCTGGTGGTGGCAGTGGTGGTGGCAGCGGTGGTAGTGGTGGGCAATGATTTGGATGATGAGCAAGATTATTACGATAAGAATTAGGAATGGGGATGAGGACTAAAAGGACGAGGATGTGGCTGGGCGATGATGAACAGGCGGACGAGGAGAATAGCATGAATGCAGAGAAAAACGGAAAATTGCATTCGACAACCTCTTGGAACCTCTACCAATTGGTAATTGGTAGAAACATGTAGAAACAAGGTGCATGCATAAACTAGCAACCATTATATAAGTGAAAAATCCCTCCATATCTATCCAAAAAAGATCAAAGTCCCGCCTACACCCCCTGCCCCGAAACGGAAAACAGCCGCATTTGACAGCCAGGTCACAGTGGTCCAGCTCACTTGGAGGGCATTTTTCTCCGCATCCGCTACTGCTGTGATCACTTCACACAGAATGCCAATCCTCAATTTGTGAAAAGAAATTTACCCGACAAGCGCAGATTTAACCCAAACCTGAAGTGTTACGTTTTTCAAAGTATCCAAGTGGAAACTTCAAACCCCCACATACACCTACCCATGCAGCTTGATATTGCAGCTCCGAGGGTCAGCATGTTCATGATCGTCACCGCCTCACGACTCTAAATTACACTGGAAATGTGGGATTAGCTTGGGGACAATTCACAGAACCTTTTTTGGTCCTTCTACCAAAACAAAGACATAAAGCCTCCCCAACATTTAAAAAAAAATGGAAAAACTTTGACAAGCCAAACCCTTTCTGTCAGCAGGAATAATTAGATGTAGAATAGCTCGACTCGAATGATTGGCTTGAGGCTTGAGGCCTTGCCAAAACATCAGATTCCTTACGAAACAAGTACCATCAAGGACCTAGAGCCGTTGTCAGGGCCTTGGATGTCTCTCTCAGAGCCTTCTAATAACCCCTGACTCTTAGAAGTCTTAGACCCTATTTCGAACTTCATGAAACCCCACAAATCCTAATTCAAAATCCTTGGCCGTAAAGCTACCACAACTCAAAACTGTGGCCAAAGACCAATTGTTGGATCGCAGGAAATTCGACTGAGGCAGCAGCAGAAAGGATGATAAAGACATACCTCGGGGAACAAACAACGTGTCACAACATACTGGGTCACACAACACTGAAACCTGTCGACTTCCTCTGACTTCCAATAACCAGCAAACTTGGCTTGGTGGAAGGGAATTCCATGTGTGAAGTTGTGGGTATTCACCGCTGCAAGTGCAGTCAAGGGGCATCAAAAAAAAACCTTGGGTCACTTGCACTCAGATCAAGTTTGGGGGACAAGTAGAATCCATCCATGGTAGATGGCAGGACAGGCTGTGGCCTTATCCAAGTCCAAGCTGCACAAGAATGTCACCTGTAACATCTTGCAAAGTCTTGCAACGTGGAACTTTTAGCACAAGAACCCCGTGAAGTACAGTACCGCTGGAAAATCACAGAATCCATTCCTGCCATTTGCCATCAAGCAGCCAATCAGATTGTCCTTCAACAGTTCCGCCATCACATCACTAACCGCATCCAGGAAGGTGCCTGATCCCAGTGACTCCGCAGTTGATTTATGAAAAACCTATAGAAAATAACAGAAAATATTGTAAAATTCTGAGCTTGCCAACCTGTGGCACAGTCTGGTGCACCCAAACTGTTCTGCTTTAAAGACTTGGATCTCCGTTGCAATCTGAGCTTGTTGCTGGCCATTCCTTCACTTGTTTCATCTTGTCATCTTGTTTCTAAAGCTCAGTCAAGTATCCATGCATGAAGAGGCTGTGCATCGAAATCGGCACATTGTAAAAGCGGGTAGTACCTGCAGCGCGACGGCGCGACGGCACTGCGGGGTCGGTGTCGATCGGTGTCAAGTTGACAAGCCCAAGACCCACCAGAGAAATTCAGAACGTGCGATGCGAATGAGTTTGAAAGTCGATGTTGTTCAAATTTTATGACCATTGATCATTTGATGCAGTTTTCCAGGTCAAGTCCATTTCGGCCTTTCAGAAACTCAACTTTGGATGAATGGGTGAAGAGAATTGATAGATACCAAAGAATCCTGTTCTCAAAAGCACAACTCCTAAGGTCTTTCTCTTTTTCTTCGCTGCGATCGACGACATAATCCTGAGAAAGATAAAGCCAATGGGATTCAACCCAATCGGTGCTGTTTGGTCAGACCCCCTCTGTGCCAGGATTAGAGAGATGATTTCACCCATTATCAATTATCAATTATCAATTAATGGGTGAAAGATGTTTCAGCAGATGTTTCAAGATATTTCAGGTGCTCTGCCTATCTGAAATCAGCCGCTCTTGTCTGCACTGACAGAGTTGGATCATCCGACCGATGCAGGGAGAAAAGCTATCAAGCAAAATGGCCTGCAAATGCAGAGTCCGCATGTTTGCGAGACTTTCTGCTAGACTGCTAGACTGTCCAGCTAAATCAAGGGGTGTCCCTGCCAGAATCTCAATCCGGAAGTGTCGAGACTCTCAGGCGAGCGGGATGGCGGGATGGGGCAGAGAAATCGAATCACCCGGCCGGACACTCCGTTCCCAACCCACGCCACACCGCCACAGAATAGAAAAGTTTGAAAAGATCATAAGATTTCCAAATCCACAGTGGACAAATAAACTTTAGGATAAAATGTGACCGTGTGTGATCCATATCAGTTGGAAACCGCTTCTTCAATGTTTTACAAAAAAAACAAAAAACTTTCCTGCGTGCATGACCTGGACACCCCAAGTCCACTGTACAGTCTATGATGAAAAATCTCATATCCAAGGTCACACTTGGATGCTGACCATCGGATCATCCTCATTGCCACGTTTCTTTTCGACTTTGTTGCATAGTCTAGAAGGCTGTTTGCCAACTTTCTGCAAGAAAATGTCCAGCTTCAAAACGTGTCCATCATGCCCCCTTCGGTTAGGCTGGCCTGCGACATGGTCTGGGAGATGACTCCACCGCCGCACGACAAATGATGCATCCATGTCTGCCAGTCCACTCTGGTCCCAGGCTGACTGGTCCTCATAGATCCTCTGGGGTATTCGTATGTGAGTCTGGCCGTGCCTTTCATGGAGCTGATCTGTTGGAGCCTTTGGATCTTTTGGATTCGAGAACCCTCCAGCAGAACATCCCATGGTGCCGATTGGTGCCGATGGGTGAGGATTGGTGCCGATTGGTCGCAGGCGCTGAGAATTGAGCGAGTTTGGAAAGCACGAGCGCCTCTTGAGCATTGACGGCGAAAATAAAAGCTCATCCAGTGTAGCATAGGGTCATCTGGGTACCATATCAGTCTGTGATGCAGTCATGCATGCAAAAATGTGCAAAGAAACAAGCAGCAAAACGAACCCTGCCAGATCTAAATTGAAGGCGTCCCCGGCTTATCGTTAATGTCACTAAACATCTCTTGCCAGGCTCATTCTCATCCTGGTTGAAACGAACCCGACCAAAAATCCATCGCAGCGACAGCCTACATTGCTGCCATCCAATGTCATCCTGAAGGCAATGGCAAAGACATAGAGACCTTGGTAGGCCACTGGACGACTCGTCGATGACTCGTTAGTTTTTGCTGATGTTCACTCTGGTTCCATCAGATGCTTGGACGGCCTGGCCTGCCTGGACCTGTTTGGACAGGAGCGTTCTGTGCTTTGATGCTGTGGGTTTTCTAGTGGTCTGGGTGATACCGGTATGGAGTGTTCTAGGTCTTTTTGCTCAAAAGATACATGTATACATGTATAATATGTTTCTTCCCCTTGCCACTATGGTATATGTGGTTCAGCTGCACATCATTGCACATCTAGATCTTGCTTTACTCGGCATTCGTGCTGTCCACTCAGGCTGTCGAGTTCCATGATCTACTCAGCACTGTGTCACACCCTGGGGCTCCGGCAAATGCCGAGCAGCAGCAGTGTAAAACCCACTGACCTGACAATGTAGGAATTAGATAGGTTGCAAAATATTGAAACCAATCGGAGGAATGTGGGAAAGGCTAAATCTTCCAAAAATCCGTGGAAACTCTTGACACTCACCATCTTTCCCATAATTTTCCAAGACTTTCCACTTATTTTTTGGAAGATCACCATGATCGCCATAGCTGCCATATGGCAGCGATGCCATGTCCTTCGCCCAACAGCTTCTCGCCTTCCTGCGGAGGCGATGGCCTTCACCAAGATCAGCAGCTCAGGGACCAGGCGAATGAGCCTGGTGCGCTAGTACTGCGGTAGCAGTGCGGCAATGTTGGATATCTTGGATATCTTGGATATGTTGGAAGTGCGGATATTTGGTGATGTTCACTGTGCTTCCTCAGACGTGCGAGTTACTCATTTGTGTTTATGTGTTGAGTGATACCTGGTGATATTATTGACCTGGTGACATGATGTCTCTTCTGATTTGGTCATATTGATTATATTCGAGATGCCTGAATGCTGTCCCGGATGTGTTTATGGGAATGTTACACTGCTGATAAAGGATAATGATCGTTTTTGGTGATATCAATAAGAATCTGTGATATCTCACATATTCTAATATGATGTCTGATATAATTTTCTGATATCTATTGATATCTCATGATCTATGGCCCAGGTTGGGGTCACCCCGGTCACCCCCTCACCTTGCCATCCTCAGCAGTCTTGTAAGGCGCATCAACCTGGTGAGTCACTGGTGAGGCAGGGCATCGAAAAACATTGAGCTTTGTCCGAACAGGCACAGCCTAGGCATAGCCTAGGCATGGTTATGTTTTTTTTTATTATCATTGAATTAATCATTTAAAAATAGAAAAAACTTCACAAATATGGTCAAATCCTTTCACAGTCGATCACGCCGATGATCACATGTCTGCTGAGGTTGTGCGTGTGTAGTCTCTTTCCACCAAAGTTGGGCCTCCAGCTACCACAGACACCCTGGCCCTTTCAAACCCGAGTCGCCTGGCCATACGTAGAATGGAGGCATCCCCCAGAAAGTTGGCACCACCAGTGCCCAAAGAGGCTAAAGCTAAAATCACTAGGTTCATGACCTCGGCTGATCAACTCGTGCACACCACGTGTCAGTACCGTGCTTTCCATGTCCAAAATCCGGCAGTTCACAAGGCTGCGCCAAGGTGCCCAGGTCTCCGCTACCATCATCACCACCAAGGCCAAATCAAATCTGGGCGGATGTCTCAACGAGACATATCGAGACACATTCTCTTGTTCGGTTTAGTTTGGTTGCTGTGAAAGAAAATATCATATCTCAACCATGCGTCTTGGAATGACCACAGGGAATGCATACGATTTGCACCGGAGAAATTTGACTCTTTGCATCAAGCCTGGCTTCATTCAATATTTCGACAGGTGTGCAGCTGAGCAGCACGAACCATCCATCCTTTAAGCACTGGCACTTCTTACTGAACGCCAAAAAGCCTGTCGAACAACAGCTGAAGTCGACAGCTGGGCGTATCCGCAGATTGTCTTGTCTTTCATCCAAAACCCTGGCATCAGGAATAACCGGAAAGACTGGCTGCTTAACGATGCCAAATGTTTACACTGCCGCTGACCCCTTCTGTTGATTCGCAAACTTATTAATTTGGAATTCAAAGTTTCACCCCCAGCCATGATCGAAATTCTGAAAAAAAAAAAAAAACTTCCGTGCTACAGGACACCCCAAGCGTTTTACGGCCAAACATCATGTGAATCTTTGTTGCTGAGGAACGGATCAGCAGCTCCTTAGCAGCAGACAGGAACAAAGTGGACACCAAGCACTGCGAGTCATGTAGGACTACTGTAGGACTACTGTACAGTAGGACTACTGTAGGACCTTCACCAAAAATTGCAGCTCCCTAGTTTCCGCCCTCTGGAGGCACTGCTCGAGGGCGAACGGGATACCATGTACAAGATGGAATTAAAGACTGTCACCCACAGTAGCCAATAGAATTTCATCAGGAAAATATACCAACATCTTGCAACATCTTGCCACAAGGTGAACATTCCCCTGGTTCCACACCCTGGCTCCACAGCCCTTGCTCCCTCCAGCCAAGTTTCCATGAAGAAGTACAAGCAAAAGAATTGCCTCAAATGCAGGTGCAGCACGGTCGTCAGATCACGCAGTGGATAAAAATGAGACATGGCACCAAAACTTCAGGGCGATAACAGTAGTTGCTGAAGAGGTGTCATTTAAAGGTTAGAAAACTGTCCTGCAATGCCCTTAGGGTCAGGAAGATTTTTTCTCATGAGGTCCAAGATTCTGAGGTCCCTAGTCATTGGAACTACGTAGAACTACTTGGAGCACAGCCCTCTGCCCAGTCTGCCCAGTCTGCCCAGTCTGCCCAGTCTGCCCAGTCTGCCCAGTCTGCCCAGTCTGCCCAGTCTGCCCAGCCACTCGCAAATGATGAAGATGGGCTCAGTCTGCGTAATGATGCTGGCCTGATTCAGATCCTGAGATACGGCACCATGGCTAGGTTCCCCCCACTGTGCCCCACGGTGAGTTGGTGATGAGAGATGTACGGCGATATACGGCTTACTGCAGAGTCAGCCGCTTCAGCCATTGATCCAATCGCCGGGGCCGGGCCCCGGCGTCCTGCTTCTGTGCCTCCAAGGAACGGCATCTATGGACATGTACAGAGCATATAGGACCTGGGTCGCACTGGAGCCCAATGGAGCACTGCTGTTTCATAAAACATCCCTTGTGAATCCTTATGACCTATCTACATCTATCTACTTCAGCTACTGAGAAGTGATTTCAATGTATTGCTGAAATTTGCTGAACGTATTTCAATTCCCGTTTCCCGTTCCCTGGAAAGGCTTTGAAATGCACCTCTACACGACTCTACACTGTCAGCGAACTGTCCAAGAGACGATGATGGCCATGGTGGCGTTCTCAAACCAGGTGTGACGGGCAAGCCATTGGGCCCAACCAGTCTCCTTGTAGAAGTTCTTCACATCGTATTCTTGGTCAAAACATGTGAAGAACTTCGTGCATGTGCAATTCTTGGTGCAAGCTGTGAAGATTGAGGTGGGACAGCAAGCTGAAAGCAATGAAAGCAATCCATCTGCCCCTAGGCTTTTCATACGCAAGGCTCGTGGAAAAAATGTGTCTCAACAGTTGCCAAGCATCTCGGCTCCATTTCATTGGCAATCACTGCCTGTACATGCAGTTGGGTTGCCAAATGTTACAAAATCACCTGGATCTCAACCGCTTTTTCTGCTGCTCAACATCCTTTGAGCCCCTAGAGTCCCTAGAGTCCACAGACTGGTGCAAACTGTAAAAAAACTGTATACTTTGTGTGTACTTGTGTCGTATGAATTGGCGGATTCGATACAGAGTGCTAACATGTGCCGACATAAGCCCACATGTGCCGACTGGCTGTGCCTGCATGTCATCCGAATGTCCAAACATTGGACGAGCGGCAATAGTGGCCTCGGTTAGCATGCAAGAAAGGCAAGTGGATGCCCGTTGCTCATGATTGGTGTCCGAATGCAAATCAAAAGGACTGATCTTTACTTGATATTTACGTCAGTTCTGTTAGTTCATTTGATCTTATTTCCTGGATGTGTTGCTCCCTGCCGATCCAGCAACACATGATGATAATATCAACAAAATTGGCAGGTATACGGTATACTTAATAATAATAATAATAAACAATAATAATAATAACAATAATTAGTAATAATAACAATAAGTATTTATATATATATAATGTAAATTGACTAGAGCATGTGTGCGCTACAACATCAGAGTTGCTTTCAGATGTGGAGAGTCGAATATCCTGGACTCTACCATACAAACACGGCCCTACCTACTTATGATCCCAAACAAAATCCGGAGGCAGTGATCAGTAGGTCACCTCCACTTGATGCACGCACCCACATCCAACCCCTCTGTGCTTCCAGAGAACTCTCCCCTTCGCTACCTGGAGGGCTGGCAGATTCGTGACATCACTGTCAGCAAAAAGTACTCCGTACTCCAACTTCAACAATCTGCAACAAACAACTCAAACTCGCCAACAACAGTGACAGAGTGACATGCAGATCCAAAAGTGACATGCAGATCCAAAATCATCCAAACAGTAACCAGCCAACCAGAGCTGAAGCAAATCACCAGCCTTGGAGTCGACGCTCATTCGCCGGTTGGACTCGCGATGGGATGTGCGCTGCTTGGAGGTCAAGGAAGAACTTTTGCCCGGAGGCTCTTCGATCGGCTCCTTGGAACATCGAACCCAAAGGACAAAACAAGACAACTAGAGTAACTATATAGACAAACTATATAGACAAAAAGACTAACATAGACTAACATAGACTAACATAGACTAGCATAGACTAACATAGACTAACATAGACTAACATGGACTAACATGGACTAACATAGACTAACTAGACAACCACAAACGGATCAAACGATGCTTTTACATCACGGCAGGGGGTGTCCATCTTGGCGTTCATGGAGTTTGGTCGTGTTTGGTCAATATGTTGTCCAGTCGGCCAAGAACTTTCGCGGTGAAGTGGCGACACAATCACCAAGCACAGAGCCCAGTCGCTGTTGGCTTTCAAACTTCAAACTAAGATTCTTTAGACCATTTTAAACCTTCGTTCCTGCTTTAGCACTTTGCGTGAAGCAATCCAATCTTACTGCAGCACAAGGCACGACGGGCATCGGAGGAACATCTTCATCCTCCAAGACGCGTCAAGGCGCATCTTGACAATCTTTGAATCATTCTGAATCATTGAGAATCATTCTACATATTCTACTCCAAAATCTTTATGTATTTATGTAATTTTATATAATTTTATATACCTATTCATACCTTTCTAGTCGGTTCTCTCTAAGACCATCCTCCTAGAGTCCTAGAGGTTCCCTTTCAGTTTGACCTGGGGAGGAGCCACCTCTGCTCAAATCGCCCAGTTTTAACCTGCCATGTGAAATGCCGGGCTGTTGTTTGTGTTACCATATCCCATGAGACTATCAGCAGATAATCCCAGGTCCTGAAAATCGCGAACTTCCTCCAGTCGCAGAGTGTCCTCCTCCATGGCACCATGTCTGGCTTCCCTGTGGACACGGACAACAGGCGGGCAAATATGGTCCGCATCTGCCACCTGACACGTCAGAAACACAGCTAAGAAATGGTAATCACCACGTGAGTCGGTGGACCGGCAGATTTCAGAGAAACACTCGAAGCGACTCAAAGAGGAAAGAATTCCACCATGTCAACAGATCTTCGCCACCTGTCCCTATCAAGGGTCTTGGCATCAAAAATCAAAGCACTCTGACCTTCCACTTGAGTCTGACGTGTACCAGATTAGTATTGGCATTATTTGGCATCCAGTTAATTGGGCTCGCAACGCCATGCCGGCAGCACATCAGAAAGATTAGCACTAAGCTCAGCCAGTGCCCATCGCAAGTGCCGATTCTCGGAAGTCATGCGTTCCTCAGCTGATCGTAGGGTAAGCATGGACAGAACAGAACGGCTGGAACTGTTCTGAGCATTTTGGACCCACGGCCACTGGCACTTTTTGCGGGCACTGTTTCAAATTTTACTTTCAAGACATTTCCACATCAAATACCATATGCCACACCAGAGATGGTTCCAACATGAGCCACAGACATTTTTGGAACCAAGCCTCATATTCGGCTGAAAGCGACGACAAGTGCTCAAAAAAAGCAGATTCACTGTCGGTCTGCATTTCTGGCCTTAGCTGCAGTGAAACGAGAAAACTTCGCACCTGCTCACATTATCTCACATTTATCCTGACAATGTGTTTCACTCAAACAACTGATTGCAGCTGGTGCACGGCATCAGTTGGGCAATAACCAGGCACTCCCGAAATGATAACAGAGCTGAGCCGAGATTGACAAACCACAAATGTGTCAAAGCATAGACGTTGCATTTCAAGAGTTTCGGCGCATGTGGTTCCGCTTGATTTCACAACATCAGGATCCATAAAGTCTACTAGTCTTATGTTCATTCCAACAAATTCACTGAACAAAAGCTATCGAACATGGGACTAAAAAGCGGGTTTGCAGTGATCACCACCAAATCAATAAGAGAGATCAGCCCCATCAACCAAGTACGAACAACATGACCATCACATGACCAACAGCGGGTAAGTACTTACTAAGGCTCTTGCTTGCAGGACTGAAATCAACGAGTTCATGGCGTTCTGGAACAATGGAAGTCAAACCAATGGAAATGACTCAACACTTTAGCTTCCAGAGTCAAAATCACGACACGACGCAACGCGCTCGGTGGTTTTCCAATCCGAAAGGCGATCATCGGACTGTAGAGGCAAAGGACTTTCTGTGATGGAAAGTTCACAATTTGATGCAATCACTTGGTCGGAAATGGTGCGAAGTCCAGCATTAGAGATGCGTGCTCAAGGGTAGCGTCCACAAGATGTATTTGCGGAACCAATTTCCAAACTAGGAAAAATTCAGCCCGAACAAACTATTTGTCCAGAATCCTACGGCAAGATTTCGACATCATGCAATAAATAAAGCAGAAAGAATCCTTTGCCAGTTTCAGCACTTGGGAAGCTCGAAGTGGACTCACTGTGTCATCTTTCAGACCTAGCGGAGCAAACCACGGCACATTTGGGAACCCAGCAACTCAGCACCGAATGACGTCATCTGTACATTCAAGTGTTTCATAGTGATTGCCTGTTTGTCTTTTAAGTCGCGACAACACTCTGGAGGTATCCTTCGAGATTCGGGAAGCATCCTTTGTCAGCAAGATTTGCTCTGTGATATTTATTGGATTTTATTGGGCCATTATTTCCAGCGTGGTTAGTGGTTAGATTCCACAAATCGGTGTTCCCAACAATGCCACTCTGGACTGGGGTGATATGGTTTTTGCAATGATGATAACTGCGCAAACACAGGATCTGTAGGCATAGGAGACATTGACTTCATGGCACGACGGCCCTGCAAACCAGAAACCACAATGTTTCAGCGACTTGCAATCTAAGCGATAGAAATGTTTGCAGGTTTCCAAGGTGTTCAGTTTCAACCTGTTACAACAGAACATTGATGAAATAATTTTTGAACTCAGGGATGATGATTCGGCTTTGCTACTTGCATCTGTTCCCCTCATGCAGCCATGGGTTCTTGTGGAAACATATCAAATACAACGATATAGTAAGACAAATACGGTACGCATGGCCAAAAAAAGGACACGATCTGAACAGCCTGTTTCAAACCAGTAGCGATGCAAAAAGTTGGAACCCAGGGCCATCTTCAATGTATCAAGGCATGGAGATTTGAGCAAGGCTTTGATCTCCAAAATGTTCCGAAAATTGAGAAACCAAAATGTTCCAAGTGTTGCCAACTTCTAGAGCCGCCCAAAATGTCACTGACTTTTGGGCCCCAGGAATCAAGCACGACACGACGCCCCTGTGTACATATTGCTTTGACAAAAGGCGTTTTGGAAGGATGTAGACAGATCTCAACAGCACCGAGAAGCAATAGCAAAGTTCTGAGTCAAACCACGCCCCACATAGTTCCATTGTGTTCCATTTATTGTCACACAATCATGAACAAGTCTGGACAAGTTTACACCACCGTGATGAATACTCATCATTTCAGAACAAGAGTTCCTTTCCCAAAGTTTGGCAATGATTAATATTGCTTCGCCCGGGTTCGCGCCTATCGGCCACCCAGAGTTTGGGCACCTTCAAATTGTTCACCAGGTTCCTGGTCATGTGCCACAAGTGCCTCCGTGCTAGGCGCTTAATGGTCAGTGGCATGACAAAGCTTGGGCACCCATTTTCAACAACACCTTCACTGGTATACGCCTGGGCTATGAACAAATTCTCCATCAGGAAACTGCTGAAACATTGTTTCCAACCAGACCGGGATTGCTGGTGATGACCAGCTGAGAAGTGCCATGATGGCCCGTCGAAATGGTTCCATACTTGAGGAAACACAAACCTCCTCACCAACCGGAAATGTAAGTGAAAGCATCTGGATCAGGAATATTGTGTTTACGCATTTTACAATGCATCATCAAATCATCAAGGCTATCTGCTGTTTACTTGTTTCTGCTTACAATTTGGCAGACGGGTTGGCTAAGCCATCCAAGATTTTCTTCCAGCTTCAACACTTTGTGAATTGCACGGACGGCCTCAATAGCACGGAACCCACTGGGCAAAAGGGGTGGCATAGGATGCCGTGGCTGCCGCAAACATCGGCGCAAACATCGGTGCCAGTGGAGGAATCGGCGGCGCACGCAAGGCCTCTGCCACCATAGCAGCCACTGCTGGCGCCGCCCTTGCGAGCTGCGGCATCTGAGTTGTCAGCACGTTCAGCTCAGCTGTCGAAGGAAATGGCACAGATGGCACAGGCAAGTCCAATCCACCTTGGGTGCACAGAGAGAGTTGAGCTGCATGCCTCTGTTGACCTGCCGAAATTTTGAAACAGTGGCATGCACAAATTGAAACCTTAAATCGTGGTGCATCGAGGCTTTTAAGTTCCACCAAGCTACATGAGCCGCCAAGGCCGTTCAGCATGGGCTTCCATACAGGAGACGGGGGTGAATCACCTTGGGAAGGACAGCGACAGCACCATAGATTGAAGTTCAAATACGGTCTGGGGATGTTCCAATGGGATTTATTTAGAAAATATCGCTAAGTTACCCAAAGTAACCTTTTAACTTTTAACATGCACTAACAAACTATGACATAAAACAATAAATCAAGTACTGGCAGTTGGTATATGTTTTATGACTGTCGTTGGCAGTTGCAGTGTCCTATTTCACCTTGAGAGTTTTGAAGGTTTTTGGGTGGGTTCCGGCGTTCCAGAAACTGCCATCATCCGCTAATATGTGTATTTGTGTGGATGTATGATGTACTGATGTGTTCGTGGGTGCAGGATGATTACAAGTACGGGGGAAGGATTCACGTTGAGCGTTTGCTTTTTGTGCCAAAAGGAAAACATCCGTATGTAACTGAACATGCATTTTTCGACAAAAACAAAAAAAAAATAGCTGTCCAAAAATCACGCAAGCATGTTCTGCCTGACTCTGTTTCCGACCTTCTCGGCACAACTTTGAGCTTTCGCCAATTTGTTGCGAAGCGCAAGCAATCCCCCCTGCACAAGCGTATAGAGTCAACTGCTGACCACTGCCAAAAAACAAAAAGTCCTTTTTCTTGGAAAAAAATGTCCCAAAAAATTGCACTTCGTGGACACATTCGGGATGTGTTGTGATCATGTTTGCAACTCCTGTTTTTTTCAACAGGAAAAAAATGTTGTCGCATGCACAGGTTGCCCGCCGATACCACCGCAGTAATCTTCACCGGATGACGCCTTTGTCAAATTTGCCAATCATTTTAGATTTTGCAAATTCGCCTGGCGGTCGTTGGGACCCTTCGCTCGGGCAAATGGGGAGGGAATGTCAATTCACGGTTCCAAGACCTATGTGAGGGATGAGACATTGGATATGCCAAAAACGAAATCAAGAGAGGACCTTGAAACCTTATTTGGTATGGACGGTTTCAGTGGGACACGATATCATTAAGAAACGCAGCAGAAATACCTCCACTCCGCGTAAGAGGTTTCAAAAGTTGGCTGAAATCGTCTAAATCATTCGGTTCAGGGCATATGAGTCGTGAGTCACTCAATACGGTTCATCCGTGCACCTTTCCCAAACTAAACAAACAAGCGAGTAAAGGAACAACACAACGCGCATCAGCCCGGAACATAACTGAATGTGAATCACAAAAAGAAGTGTGCAATACACGCCCGCACTTCCCAAAAGAAAACCGCGCACACATGGCAAGATTCTTGAAATTCAATGTTGTTTGAGTTGTTTGCTTGCCTTTTTTCAATTGTCAGCAAATCTCAACCCCATTCATCCGCGAACCAAGCGGCTCGGGGAAAGCAGCTGTGGAACCATAATTTTGGCCTGTGCAAATTCTGGTTAACAAATGTCTCACCTCTTCATAAGGATCATCAAGACATCTTACATGACAACAATGGAAAATCACTGTGCACATGTCCATCCTTTGTCACCAGCCATCTACACCCAGAAACAATATCCTACATTGATTCACATGTCCACGGAAAGCACGTGGATGCAAGGCCGAAATCAAAACAATATCATGGGCGAAGAACGCGACAAAACTTGCCTCCCGAGTCTCTGGTGCAAGAATTTTGACGCTGACTGTCACCCTCAGAATTTCAAAACCAAAAATCATCAAAAAACTGTAAATATCATCTGCTCACAAAGCTGCTTGCCATCAGCAGAAAGCCACGTTCCACACTGAAGTTTGTCAAACGATTGCATGTAAACCGCGGGTCTTCAGAACTCCTTTGATCATCGTGTGAAAAACATGTTGCAGGAAACATACAACCCGCTTGGGTTGCCACACGCGACACAATCCGTGGAACGTTTGGAATGGATAGTAGGTGATCCAGGTGATCCAGAAGGATGATGATTAAGGCATTGGCAGTCCGCCGAATTCATTGCCACACAGCAGCGGCCACTCTTCCGGGTGCTTGAGAAACCCATCAGCCAGCTGCAAAACCGCCCTGGCATCTGTGAGTCACTCCAATGGGTCACCATCTTCAACACCATCACGTTTGAAATCGCACGTTGATGTTGGTTTTTCATGGTTTTTCCTTCAAAACATGTTGGCACTTTGGGGTTAGAACGAATGAGGGCATGTGCAACAGAAAACGCATGTTCATACAAATGTCCGCCAACCATTCAATTTCAATCTGTATATTATATATATATATATATTTATATTTAATTATTTATATAAAAATATATATAGTATAAGGAATGTATAAGGTCTGTTTTGGCCCAATTTGATCAACGCCTCTCCGCATCCAGCCTTCCAACCAAACTGTCCGGCATTTTCAACGGTTTTCCAGCTTCTGCTTGAAAGAGATCGACGTGGACAAGTTGCTGCCTGGCACCGCTGGCAACTGGCAACATCACATTGTCAGCCAAAAACAACATTCACAGCTAACAGAAACCCCAGGGCACCCGAGGCACCTGGGATCATAAGGCAACAAAATGGTCTCAAAGAAAAAAACGTCCTGCACGCACCAAACAAAACACAGGCATCTCCCGGACATTTCCGTTTCTTTCACAATTCACGCATCTCTTCTTGCATGTCTTGCATGTCTTGCACATATGGTACACAATAGTCACTAGTACATACTGTCTGTATATCTCACCTGCATCTCTGCTAGACTGCTAAACAGGCTTTGCAAGCACCCCTGCGCAAACATAGATCTTACATTGTCTTAAATCATATTCACGCACTCATCTTTGTTCAGCCATGGTTATCTTGAAGCCAACGTGTGCCAGGGCGAGTCCCTCAACCTTGAACCTCCCAATCCAGCCACGGCTCCGCTCCAACCATTGGAAATTGAAAGGGCACAAGCATCATCAGTCATCAAATGCCTTTGCAGCCCTTTTGTCGAGCAACTGAATCTCTCCATTTTTTTTTCTAACGGCTGTTGCCCTTTGAAACTGACCTTTGACATTGATAGAGTACATCAAAAAAAGGTTTCAGCTAAGGTTTTCAGGGCAAGGTGGAGCGGGCTAAGGTTGTGGTTTGGGGCGGGCCTGAAGGTGGTTACGTGTAAATGCAAAACGAATGCCTCAAGGCTTTAGAGAATTTCACCAGTCCCAACTTGATAATTGCAGCTTCTGACTGCGCTCCTCATAGGGCGAGCGCGGCCGTCCCATGTGCTTCTTTGCACGGACCGTACGGGTTCTCCTGGATTTGCAGACCTCGTCCGATTCGCCTGGCAGCGCAGGCAGCGCAGGTCCGGCACCAATCTCTATCTGCACCTACCACATGCTGAAAACTGCATCAACGCCAGTGCTGGCCTGGGTAGTACGCACTTGCCTGAGCCAGATTCTGCTGCAAATTGCTCATGGGTGCCACTTCACTGGCCTTTAGGAAACAATTTAAAAATTTTGCCTTTCTCTGAATGGCTGAGGTTTTGACACAAAAGGAATGTAGTAGTCGAGAGCTCTTGTCCTCAGCAACAAGTTTGGGCGTTTGGGGTGCCAGTTGTAGATGTCACATAAGGAGATCTGACGCGTTACAGCCAGCAGTTCTCGGAAAGGTTTCGGCTTGAATGCTCTAGCAATGTCACTCCGCCTAGACTACCAGATTGCATTTTTTCTCAATATCGAACCTTCTTGTGAAAAGGGCAATCAGCGCCTGCTTCTGACAAGATGACACATGACTTGAAACATGATTTCATGAAACACTTTGACTCGGTTTACAAAATTTTCTACTTTTCCCATTCCAGACGTTTCAGCTTCCCATTTACCGAGGGCGGAGCAATTGCAAGTATTCCCTCGGCCTGGGTTGTTCTCAGTCAAATATCACGGCCAAGGTTAAACGATGCCTTGTTCCGTACGACAGTTGGTGTCCGCTCACTCTCTTGGAAAATTTGTGCCCAATGTCCTATCGGATTCTTGTCTGCATTGATGCTGGGGCCATTGCTTTCTCAATTTTCACTTCTACGTATTGTTGCTTCTTGCGCTGCCCACCTGGCGTCCACAGCAATGCCAACTGGCACCCTTGTCCTCAAATTAGTACGGCCAACCAGCCAACAAAGCGACAAATTTCTTCTTTTACATCAACACCCACGCTGCAATCCGTAAGGCCTTCGGCGCCTGCTGCAAGAGTCCTGAGCAAGGAACAAACATGTTTCTCAAGGAAGAGGGTAAGGGAAAGCAGGCGATCAGAAGATCCATGTCTTCCTCAGAATCCCGCATTTACAACAACACTGTCACATCATCATCTGTATCCACTAGCACTGGTGCTTATGAAAGGTTTCCGAAACAAACGGCCTCTGCCTGGGTGATTTCTGACGCACAACTTAGCCAAGTTGTTTGGACTTGAGCCGAGTTTCTTGAAACCCATTTTCGGCACACAGCGAGGGCCATTGACATGGGTCGCTCTGCGCAACCTGCAATGCCAACTTGGATGTCCATGTGACTGGCGTTTGAAGACGCTATCTAATTGAAAAAGGCATAAGGCACTAGCTGCGCTTATTTCAAGCTGTCAGCAAGGACTGAACAATGTCTGGCGCGTTACCTGTTTTGGGTTGTGTTGATAATTTTCTCAATTTGCTCACATAAACACCGTGCAAGCAAAATCTACCCACGGCGAAGAGTAGAGGGATCGTTTGCGGTTTCAAACTGTCAGCAATGGCAGTAAACTCTGGCGCATTGATTGCTTTTGGCTCTGGGTTTGCGCCCCAACGTATGTGGTTCATTGTGTTCATAGTTCGTTGATATCGTTGATTTTACTCTTACAAACCTTGCAAACAATTCTATAGCGGGACCGTCAGTTTCAAACCGTCAGCAATGAGTGCCAACGGTCTGGTGTGTTTGCTTTTGGCTGGCTCATTCATTCACTGCTGGACCTTGCAAAATGGAGCAAGGTTTCCCATTCAGGGCCTTCTGTGGTGTGTGGCATTGTGTTGAGGTTTCTTGCATTTTGCGACATAAACATTGCAAACAAATTCTACCCACAGGAGTGGAGGGATCGTTTGCAGTTTCAAACGCTCAGCAAGTAATGAAAACACTTGCGTCTTGATTGTTTGTGGCCCTGGGTGTTTGCACTCTTGGTTCGTTCTTAAATGTTTGTTTCATTTTTCATGTAATTCACTTCAGCATGTTTCCAATTTTCAAGGCTCGGCGCCCTGTGTTGTGTTGTTTTCATGTAGTTTGGTTCATGATGTTGGTCCTTTCTTCTCACATACAGAAACTAGAAATTGGAATCCAACAGTCACCGATGTTGGGAACAAGCAGAAGGAAACAAATCCCCACGAAGTAAACTTCAACAGATCATAGCTGTCATAGCACTGCGAGGCACAGGACAGGACACAAAAATTCCGGCCGCGAGATTTTCACAAAACACTCTTCTGAACTCCGGCATCTTTCCGGAAACTAGTTTGACACCCAAAATCTTCCCACAAAACACGCTGCACTCAATTTCATCTCAAACAGGTGGGTCAGTCAGTCGAGATGTAACGTAGCAAAAACTCGAATAGCAAGGAACTGGAGATTTAAACAATCAAACAGTTGATACTCAAGACAAAACTGTAGATTTCAGCAGCATGAGTTAGGATTTACTTACTTTACTTCATGACAATACTGATTCACTGAACACAACCAAGAAAAACTACCCTCTAAAAAAATCACATCTTAATCTGGACGGGTTGCTGGAAGCGTCACACAAGCCTAATTGTTCAATCTTGAGTGCATTTGAGATCCCAACGGCCCCGGTGAGGCATTCACCTGTCGCATTGCAGGTGCTGCGGAGCCAGCGGGTAACGATCTGGTTCATTGGGATGGTCATCCAAATTTCCAACGTGAATCAGGGCGCATGCGTCAAATCAAAACCCCTTTACGGCACAAGAAGGCACTCTGTTAATTGCAAAGACTATGAATCCAGGACAGTTTGGTTTTCCCCAAATTCTAGCCGGACAACAAACTAAATTGAGAAACTCCATTGGTTCAAAAAGCAAGTACGACAATTATATAACATTTCAACCGGTGCATTTCCTCCATTTGCTACTCTTGTAAACACTAACACTTCTGCCCAATTCAGTGATTCGATTGTTTCTGACCGTGTTGTTCATCCGCGTTGGTATTTTTTTCGTGGGTTGTCATGTGATGGTCGTTTTTTCCCCTATTTTGAAATCATACATGATCATACTATACAATACAAAATCCCCTTGATTACATTTTTTTTTGTCCGATTTTGCTGGATTCATTCGCCTTCCCTACAAAAATCGGTTCAACGACCGCCCAAGGACCCCCACGCAGCTCATAGCCCTGCTCCACTGGGCCATGGCGAAGTTGGGCAACTATGGCACCAGCTGACACCAACCCTGAAGGATCCACATGTTGAACAGATCACCATGTTTGACACATTTTATGTTTGTTCAAAATATGTTCCGTCAAATTTTAAAAGAATGGCATGGCATGCAGTTTTTTGGCCGTGGAATGATTGAATACAACATCAAGGAACTGGTGATCACATGGGTGTATAACATCAATAACGTCAATGCCATCAATGCTACAATCACGTGTTCATTTGATTTTTTTTGCTGTGGCACTTTCTTCCCTGTCGATGCCAAAAGTTTGAGAACTTGAATGCCAATGCCAGAGCGACGAAATGTCATTTTTTTGAAACTGACTTCACAATTTAAAAAATAATTGAACTGCAGCTGCCCGTGGAATTCTCATGTATTTGTGGATTCTTCACATTTTTGCAATATTTGCATGACGCATCTTGATGAGTATCTGCATATTGAGGGTTCCCCCAAAAAAATATGCTGATGAAACCGACTGGTTGAAGATCTTAAGTAAATTGAATTTCGCATTGTTTTTTGCACGGACATTTGCAAAAAAAAAACACAAAAAAACAAATAAATGCCATACCGCTGCAGCCATTGCCATAATATGTATGTATGTGGTGCATGTATGTATGTATGTATGTATGTATGTACATGTACATGTACATGTACATGTACATTTACATTTACATTTACATTTACATTTACATTTACATTTCCATTTACATTTACATTTATATACATATATATAACTATATTTATATTTATATTTATATTTATATTTTATACATATATATGTATGTGTACATATGTATACATATCTCTCTGTAGGTACGTCCGTATGTGTGTATGTCTGGATGGATGTCTTAAAAGGCCTCCCCAAGTGTTTGCATCATGTCTATACCTGTATCTATGTGGGCCCATCAAGGCCCCTGACCCAACGATAGCAGAGCAGTGATCTCTGGAACGATCATCAACAACAACACCCTAACAACACACAGCATCAGCAGCTAGGGTAAGTATCAACAGGAGAACAGAACAGCAGCAGCAGCAACAATGACAATGGCAGAAGAGCAAATGAAAACAACGCATTGATACAAAATCCAACCACCAACACATGACAGCAACTACTCCCGATTTGACCAATGGAAGTATCTAAGTAGGGTTCATCAACGCAACATTCCCAGGCTGCTAGCCAAGCAAAAACATCACAACAAACCATCACAGACCAACTCATAACAGATGGAACAACCAACGCAGCAGAAGGCCAACTATGGGGAACAAGACTGGCAGCCTACTACATCTTAGTATCAACGACAGCAGCAGCAGCAGCAGCAGCAACGATACGCCGACAAATGAACATCAATGCCAAAGGTTTTGAAACATGATGGCAAATCCATCGAAGGTTTTCCATCCTTGTTGGGACAAAAGGCAACGGTTACCTCACCAAATTCCTCAAGCAATCGTTTGACGAATATCCCTTTGCAGAATTTTTTGCATCATGGGAGTTTGAATCAACTGGTATGAAAGGGAGAACAAAGTCACCATCAAAGACCCCAACAAGATCGCGTTCTAGACTCCAGAGGACATTCATCAGTTAAAGGTTTCTTGCCTCTTACGCTGTCTACAAATTTCTTTGCATCGGGAGATGACGCTATAATTCGCACCCGAAACGCGAACCTTGACAAACCCGCCCTTGAGAATCAAAGCATGGACCCCAGATAGCAAAACATTTACCGCACTCTGACAGCAAAAAAATCTAGTATGCAAATAATCCTTTGACAGAGTGCCCTGTACCCGTACCTTTCAATGGCACCAGCAAGCCAACTCCCGCACACGCCACTCATCGCCACTCTAAACAGCACCTACAAGCAACAGCACCACCACACCAGCGAATGACAAACTATGTGTTGACAGTGATTCCAGTGCGGTTGGTGGTTCAAATGAATCTCAATTTTCCAGTTTCACAGCATTGGATCAAAGCGTTGCCAATAAGAGGGCTTACAATTTTTCCGGTTTGAACTGCAGGACTTGCTTACAGTTGAAGTGTGTGCTGGGACAGCACGGCTGACCAAGACAATCCGAGTAAGAAGCATTAGGAACCTAGCCATTGACAAGAGCAAGGACAGGGGCTGTGGAACGGACATCATGGTACTGGATTTGACTGTCGAACATGATTTGAATTTACTTTTGCAAATTTTCAGGGCTGGAGCAGGGCGCATTGCATTGGTTTTCATCTCACCTCCGTGTGGGACAGCAAGCAAGGCACGAGAAAGACCGATCAAATCGTCACTTTTGTTTGGCAACAAACAGCCGGTGCCATCACGGAATGCAGACAAGTCAGACCAAAAAGATCTTGCGGGACTGGACAAATTTAAAAGTGAGATGGCCAATCAACTGTATGTATCCGTGACAAAGAATGTTTTGCTTTGCATGACTTGGGTTTGTGGGTTTGGCTGAAAACCCACGCAACAGTTTGTACTGGGCTACATCTTTTGCACAGCAATACATACAGATCGTTGAAACTTGTTGGATGGATTTTCACAATTTTGCACATGGTGGGCTGCGTGACAAACTCACGAGACTCTGATCCAACAAGAAAGGGGGACAATCACTCCAGCTTTTCTGTGATAAGTAACATCAGCATGCTTCATGGAGGCCAAGGGTCAACAATCGGCTCAATTTTCCTACAGCCGCGGAAGCGGCATATCCATGGTTTTTCTTCGAACGGGTGGCAAACATTGTAGAAGACATTGCACAATTTTTTTGGTGCAGCTGCCTTTTCAACACTCCATGAACAGGTCCATGCCAATAACATCACAAATTTTCAACGGTATTTTTCGATGCTTTGCCAAGATCTGCAAAACTGCGTCCCATCATCCCTGAGCATGGGCGCTTCTTTAGACTGAATCCTCAGAACAGAGTTTGCTGATTCTGTACTGCGAAGCTGCCAAAAGGTGCCAAAATAGGAGAAATTTCGGGTCTCGATGGTGGACAAGTTAGAGCGGACAAGTTGGACAGACAAGGGCATAGCAGAGCCTGAAAAAGAAGAAATGGCCACAATTGAGATTTGCTGCGAAGCAGGCAGCGACTCTTTTTCTAGCCAAAAGGGTTCACGAGTATATACATGATTTTCATGTACATGAGGTCACAATTCCTACACGTCTCTTCTCGATTTGTGCAGTGTCATCCATGTTGAACGCAGTCACTGATTCCAGTCTGTATGCACGTTTGTTTCCACTGAGTACTGCTAACAATTCTAGCCACTCCTCCTTGCAATGGTGAGTTTGAAATCACCTTTGCATTTTCTCACACTCTCCTTTGGTTTTCCAATCTGACGCAATATGCAGCCATTGTTGCTGCCTTCGCACCAAAACCAAATCACAAACTCAATCTGGTCCATACATTTGTGCAATCATCTGGTATCTATCAGCACTTTCCCATCGGTTCTGTTGGCGACAAGTTGGAGACGAAGATGAATACATTGCGACAAGAAGCAAGGATTGACGCATTGATGCGAAAGTTTGAAACTCTGGAAGGTCAGCTACAACAGGTGATGGCCGAGATGAAAGATGAAATCCAAACAATTGGCAACGAGACAAATATGGTGCATGATTATGCTGCAGATCTTCACTACTCCATTGTTGAGAATGGAGATTTCCTGAGGAATGGCCTTGGACTCACACACCAACAGTGGGTCCATCTTACAACGTTGGAAAGGGCAAACATGGTAGCAGCCCGAGTGATGGGCTCAGTAGACTATATGCGTGCCATTCGACAAAGGTATGGAACCTATGGTCAGGCAGATGAAACCGATGCAATTCCCATGGAAGCTGAAGACACAGCTACCTCACCTTCAAGTGCAGAGACCATAACTGGACTTCTGGGTTTTCGTTAGAAAAAGCGCCGTGCACAGATCTGCGGTCAGATCCAACTTTTTTGCTTTGCTTTGCGCCCGTTCGAGTTCGCAACTACGGTCCTTGCAGGACATGGGCAAGCCACATCGATTCGATGTGGAAAAATTTGCTCAAGCCTCCTCACACAAAAACTGTACAAAGAGATCGCTTTGTAAAGGCCACTCTGGTTGTGCGGCTGCTTCGAGCCAACTTTTGTAGTGAGGAAACTGGCGCCGGCAAAAGTTATTTAAATGATCATCCCACCGTTTGAGTGGACGCCCTACTCGCCGTACTGGTTGTTCTCCAAAATTTTTCCTCCAGTTATCCAAGGGGGACCACTGTATCACATTTTTTGGCCAGCCTGGTGTTCGAGAGATCCTCATTGCAAAAGAGAACAATTTTTTTGCAAACCTCCTTTTCCAGTTGATGATTGGATGGTATTGTAAAGCTGCTTGCACCCGTGCGTTCATACGAAGCATTGTATCTTTCCAGGGTTCGTCTTGCACACGCACCCATCCAACGACAGACCGTAGCATCCGGCGTTGCACGATATCCAGTTGATTTAAATCAGCTGCCGTCAGCGGCATTGTAACGAGCCCAAAAAGAGTTGTAGGGGTGACAACCGCATCAAATAGTCGCAAACGCAGCTTTACCGAAATATGCTTGTTCATCAATACAAATCGATACTGATTGAACTTGGCCCAGGCCAAATGCACACGGTGTTGAAACCCAATTTGGCGTCGTTTGGTCAGATCACCTGTATATTTTCTGCCAAGGTATTTGTGTACGCAAGTGTCCTTCAGAACTTCCACGGGTTCGTCCTTGATAAGAACCACGTCTGGAACATTGACCTCATGCGTAGTGAAAATTTTGGTTTTGGAAAAGTTTAGTTGCAATCCAACTTTGCCAAGTTCTTCCCAAAGTATTTCGAGCATGTAAACCAGATCACCTTTGTTTTTTGCAAAAAGTAAAATATCATCAGCGTACCGAATATTGGTCAACCGTTCTGCAAGTCCAACGTCGACGCCATGATCCGTAAGGCGCTGTTTCCATGAAGCCATCACATCCTCCAGGCCGGCATTGAATAAAGCTGGGCTGAGAACGTCACCCTGCTTAACGCCTCTGTTGATTGG